TCCTCCCCTTCCTCCTCTGAGGAGCCTCCACTGAAGCATACATAAATGCATCACATCCGTCTCTGTCTCTACAGGCCCTATAAAAAAAATGCCACCAAGTACAAACTCAGACCAGAGGCAAGCTCTGCATAGCAAGTGCCAGACAGTATTCCCTTGGATTTCATTATGCAATCCTGGAACCCAGTCAATGTGTTTGCAATGGGGTGTCTAAGCTGTGATATACGGTCCCATAGACTTGTCACTTTGCCATTTAACAACAAACCCCGAAAGGCCATTGCTATAAATAATCCAGTGTGTACTACATTTATACTGTGTACGTTTGACTAAGGGCTCTATTCAATCTGTATTCAATTCCACTATATAAATGTAAAGGTAATTTCTGATTGAGCCGACATATGCAGCGTTTTCGATGAATGCAGTCTCCACTAAAGCGGGAACATTGCCGTTAAATTTCCATCACGCTGTAAAGCTGAACTTCCGCGATGCAGATTCAATAGAGCCCTAAACTTTGTTTTCTGCACACTGCACACTGCACAAACTGAGGATTACAGTGAGGGAAAAAAGTATTTGATCCCCTGCTGATTTTGTACGTTTGCCCACTGACAAAGACATGATCAGTCTATAATTTTAATGGTAGGTTTATTTGAACAGTGAGAGACAGAATAACAACAACAAAAATCCAGAAAAACACAGGTAAAAAATGTTATAAATTGATTAGCATTTTAATGAGGGAAATAAGTATTTGACCCCTCTGCAAAACATGACTTAGTACTTGGTGGCAAAACCCTTGTTGGCAATCACAGAGGTCAAACGTTTCTTGTAGTTGGCCACCAGGTTTGCACACATCTCAGGAGGGATTTTGTCCCACTCCTCTTTGCAGATCTTCTCCAAGTCATTAAGGTTTCGTGGCTGACGTTTGGCAACTCGAACCTTCAGCTCCCTCCACAGATTTTCTATGGGATTAAGGTCTGGAGACTGGCTAGGCCACTCCAAAACCTTAATGTGCTTCTTCTTGAGCCACTCATTTGTTGCCTTGGCCGTGTGTTTTGGGTTATTGTCATGCTGGAATACCCATCCACGACCCATTTGCAATGCCCTGGCTGAGGGAAGGAGGTTCTCACCCAAAATTTGACGGTTCATGGCCCCGTCCATCGTCCCTTTGATGCAGTGAAGTTGTCCTGTCCCCTTAGCAGAAAAACACCCCCAAAGCATAATGTTTCCACCTCCATGTTTGACGGTGGGGATTGTGCTCTTGGGGTCATAGGCAGCATTCCTCCTCCTCCAAACACGGCGAGTTGAGTTGATGCCAAAGAGCTCAATTTTGGTCTCATCTGATCATTGGCAAACTTCAGACGGGCCTGTATATGTGCTTTCTTGAGCAGGGGGACCTTGCGGGCGCTGCAGGATTTCAGTCCTTCACGGCATAGTGTGTAACCAATAGTTTTCTTGGTGACTATGGTCCCAACTGCCTTGAGATCATTGACAAGATCCTCCTGTGTAGTTCTGGGCTGATTCCTCACCGTTCTCATGATCATTGCAACTCCACGAGGTGAGATCTTGCATGGAGCCGCAGGCCGAGGGAGATTGACAGTTATTTTGTGTTTCTTCCATTTGCGAATAATCGCACCAACTGTTGTCACCTTCTCACCAAGCTGACATCCTTGGAGAGCTCTTTGGTCTTGGCCATGGTGGAGAGTTTGGAATCTGATTGATTGATTGCTTCTGTGGACAGGTGTCTTTTATACAGGTAACAAACTGAGATTAGGAGCACTCCCTTTAAGAGTGTGCTCCTAATCTCAGCTCGTTACCTGTATAAAAGACACCTGGGAGCCAGAAATCTTTCTAATTGAGAGGGGGTCAAATACTTATTTCCCTCATTAAAATGCAAATACATTTATAACATTTTTGACATGCGTTTTTCTGGATTTTGTTGTTGTTATTCTGTCGCTCACTGTTCAAATAAACCTACCATTAAAATTATAGACTGATCATGTCTTTGTCAGTGGGCAAACGTACAAAATCAGCAGGGGATCAAATACTTTTTCCCTCACTGTATATGGTTCAAATAGGCCACGCACACACTCAATTTGTACAACTGATGTACCGCACATTTGGTACAATGGTTTTGATACAGCAAATTTTTTCTTCTGAAAAATGATTGCACAAGCATTGTGTTTACATTTATGTTGTATCACAATAATAGCAGTTGTACCACAACCATTGTGTCAAATGCGTTTAGTATTTTAGAATTTTATTAGGATTCCCATTAGCTGGTGCTAACGCAGCCACTACTCTTTCTGGGGTCCACACAAAACATAAAACGTGACATAATACAGAACATTAGTAGACAATAACAACTCAAGGCCAGAACTATATAGATTTAAAATCAGAATTCACACTTTCATACACTTAAGTCGAACATTCCATACTTAATAACATTACACAGACGCCGGCACATACTCGTTCGTTAATCGTAATATGTTACAGATACCACCCAGTGGTTCATACTGGGTCTCTTGCGGTATAATGTTAGCCTTGGTGGAGTTGTTCATTAAAAAAGAAAGAGTCACACCAGATTGGAGCCATTCACCCAGTGAACGGAGTCCCATACATATGTCGCCTCAGCAACTGTGACAGCCTTGACTTTTCGTTATATGTTACAGTCATCTCCAGATGACTGTACGGTGAAGTGAGACAGATCAGTTAGTTGTACAACCTGTGTGTGTATGGGGCCATCGACGCTAAAGTGGATGGAATTTTTAGATTTCAGGTTTAGATTTGGTATTTTCCGCTGACTTCGTTTTGGTAGTTGTTTTCTGGTCATAGAGGAAAACCCTACCGGGACTTACTGGCACTTACCGATGAGCTCCTGGCACTTACCGTTAAGCTCCTGGCACTTACCGTTAAGCTCCTGGCACTTACCGTTAAGCTCCTGCTACCCTTCTCCTAAATGTGTCCTTGTGGAATCTCAAGAACTGGATTTACTGTACCACAACTAATCCTTCAGAAGCTTATGTTGTGAGACTCCGATGTAGAGATATCTACAATAGCTAGAACATTTAGAGAAAGTACAAGAAGCTGCATTTCCGGGAGACTATCTCTGTGTCCCTTAACAATTAGATACGCTTTTATTTATTTATTTCAGGCTAATCAGAGCAGGCATTATCATATAAATAGAATTACTAATTACTAAATTATATTTCTATGGGAATTATCTTGTGGGCACAAGCAACACATAATCCCTCAATTATAACTGTGTCCAGGAGTCCTCTAAGCCTTGAGTTTACAGTCTGAATTACAACACAGTGTCAGTGGGGGAGCAGGAAGGAGAGAGCAGACAGTCCACATCACGTGTCAGGGACACCTTTCAGCTGAGTCATTCTGTGTGTGTGTGTGTGTGTGTGTGTGTGTGTGTGTGTGTGTGTGTGTGCATGTGATTTTGTGTGCGTGCATGCATAATCACTTAGAAGGGAGAGATAAAGAGCTGGGCTCAGTTCCCTCTCTCCCTCTTTAACAGCATGCAGGCCTCAAACCTCTGTCATGGTCATGGATGATTTAAGAAGTTATTGATTTTTACTTCACTTCCAGTGTTTTGCTAATATTTACTAAATCAACCCACCAATCAGAAAGGAGAGGTGTCCTTTAGAGGAGACCGGGCTAGTGCCACGTGTTTGTGAGAGGTGCAACACCTGCTGGCACAGATGATGTGTCACAGAGTGGGGACAGAGAGGGGAGGAGGGAGAAAAGACAGAGAATAAAGAAAACAGAGTTGAGAGAAATAATTATCAGGAGGCAGAGATAGATAGAAAAGAGAAAGAGAGCAAAGGAGAGAGAGATCCAGAAATAGAGACAGAGTGAAGAAGAGTGATAGAACTAGAGAGAGAGAAAGAAAGAGACCCCGTTTCAGTCTGATAGCCCTGCTCGTACCGACGGCAGCAGCACCCCCTCCCTCTCCCTCCCTCCCTCTCTCACAGAAGCACCATCACGATCCAATCTGTCTGCATTACAGAGTACAGGAAACCTCTGGTGGCGATGGTACAGGTACTCTTACACTTTGCCTTGCGACTCACACCTTATCGTCCTCACTCAATGTCTCCCTGCAGTCCTTCTCCTTCAGAGCCTTAGAACCACGGACCATCACCATCCCTTTTTACCTAATTTCTCTTCTGCGACACACCGACAAACAACCTCCGTCACGTCTCTCCGGCCCAACATGAGGAAGGGGCTCCAGGCAAGCCAGGCTGCTCACACAGGGCAGTGGGAAGAGAAGGAGAGGAAAGTGGAGAGGCATCACGAGCAGCAGCAGCTGGGGAGGGCAGAGAAAAAGTTAGCAGCCTTCTGGTTGTCCTTGTCCCAGAGGACGTGGACGTTTTTCAGGCCCCGCGGCGGTGAACGCACCGGCTACTTCCAGCGGAGCCCCTCGGCAGCTCGCCTGCTGAAGAGCGAGGTGTGAGGAGTGCGAGAGGCCAAAGGCAGTCCGTGCCATTCTTCAGCTTCATCCACCATTAGCAAAACATTTTTGTTGTTGTTATCTTAGTAACATTGGCTAAAGACAGAAGGACAAGAGAGAGCGACAGGTGAAGGACAAGAGGAGGGAGGGAGGTTCGTCAAATGCCCTCTTCTTCTTTTCTTGGCTCCCTCCGGACTCTTTACCTTATGGGAAAGCGTTAGGCAGCAGCTGAACTGTTCCTTTGACCTCACATTCAGAACATTACGGCAACAAACTGTCATTCAAAAGGCTCTGAAAGCCTCTGAAGAACGTTTGGCGACGTGCTGCTGTCGACTGGAAGGACTCTCTGCCCTCCTCTTGTTGTCGTCAAAGCCAGGCTTCCCTACTCTGAAGAAACTTCCACTCACGAAACTAAACTATCAAGTTACCATAGAGGAGATATTAGTGGTGGAGGTTGTTGGGGGTTAATGTGACAAGGGGCAGCTGTTGCTCCCTAAACCCCCACTCATCTTCCCAGGCAGAGATGGGGTAACTGGGACCTGATGAGACAATGGTGGTCACCCATCTGGAGCTGGAGCTGTGCTACCAGGGGAAGAAGCTGAGGGGCTTCACCTGTAAGCTGACCCGCTCCCCCCATGGCTACCTGCCTGAGAGTGCCTGGCTCATCACAGCCCAGATCCTACTGCCCTTCCTGGTAGCTGGCCTGGGCATGGTGGCGGCGGGCATAGTCATGGACGTGGTGCAAGTATGGGCTTAACTTTGTGTTTGTGTGTGTGTGTTTGTTTGTGTGTCTTGTAAAGTACATTTGTGTGTGTGTGTGTGTGTGTGTGCATGTGTGTGTATGTAATGTCTGTGAACAATATCCATGTGTGTCTTGATCTATTATTGACCTATTGTTACGCTTTGAAACAGTATATTTGTGTGTATCAGGGCATGCTGTGATGTGTTGTAAATCCCCTTGCATTTAAGCAAAAAACAGGGGAGAGAGGTGCAGCTCCACAGATGTTTAGGCATCTACAAATGTACATTGCTTTGTATCAGCGATAGCCCACATTCCCTGGTAGATAACACACCAGTGGTGGGACTGGTAGGGTTAGAAAAGGGCACACTGCCTGCATCCTAAATGGCACACTATTCCCTTTAAAGCTCAGACACACCGGTTTGTCTGCCACAGTACTTAGCACAGTGTCGGCAGTCAATCTCTTTTATGTTTACACAGCAAAGACCTTGAAGTCGTCAGCCACTCAGCCTTGTTAAGAAACTCCAAACCAGAAGGTGGCAGTATTGTTGTTTGGCAATGCATGTCCATGTGTGTTGCTTTATGGTCTATTCAGTGTTAGCTAGCTAGCTGCTCTAATGTTGCTATTGTTGTAGAAAGCCCTTGTTGATACTAGCCAGATGGCCACAGCTATATACTGTAACTAGCTAGCAAGATCACAAATAAACAATTTAATTCACTCTCCATAATCACATACAGCCCATAGATACGTTTTTAGCAATCTGGCTAATGTTAGCTAAATGGTTAGCATGATTCGCTAACTAGCTGTTGTGTTAGGTAAAGACACTGCATTGACTCTCGGCAGCCAGCTACAAGCAGCTGCTACATCGAAATTAATCCATTGTGATTTGATTATAATGTTACTAGCTACAGTGGCCAGATCACTAGCTTGGTAAAGCATGAAGTGTTGTGTGCATTGTGCTTCACTTACCACCCCATTAGTTTAATATGAAGTGTGTGTGACTGCCTTGCTCAGTTAGCTAGCTAGCTAACTAATAAGCTAGTACACATTATCAAACCTCACAAAATAATCATTCTTCAAGCGCAAAACTCCTTACCTAGATGTAAAAGATGTAAAGACTTCCTCTAGAAAGAATATGTATTATGTAGCTTTATTGTTTTAGTTAGAACAATTCTGATGAAAAGGGGGTGGATTAGACCTGAAAAAGTTACCTATTTTTTCCTTTTTCTTGTCACTCTTATCGGCTCCCCCACTTGGAGGTTCGTGCTCTCTGTGTTGTATTCTGCTGCACTACCCAAGTTTACCTCTAGAGACATAAATATATTTTATTCTACGTATTCTGACAGCGAGCGGAAGTACAATAAGAACAGGATTTCAGATAGGGAGAAGAAGAGGATGCATGTGCTGATGATGTATGCTGTGATGGAGTGCTAAGCTTGTTGAGTAAACATACCCTTAATTACACCCATCGTGTCCTCATGTTACTGAGCCTACTACACAACAAAATTGGCGACGAGGATGGCAGCAGCATTAGCATCAACACCTACTCTGTTCCTGCCCTTCCCGTTGACCATGTGGTTGAAAATCTTCAACAACTACTTGGTGGATATCAATACTACAGGAGATGACTGGCCAGATGATAGGAAGCGTGCAGTGCTACTACAGTGGCTTGCGAAAGTATTCACCCCCCTTGGCATTTTTCATATTTTGTTGCCTTACAACCTGGAATTAAAATTGATTTTGGGGGGGGGGTTGTATCATTTGATTTACACAACATGCCTACCACTTTGAAGATGCAAAATATTTGTTCTTGTAAAACAAACAAGAAATAAGACAAAAAAAAACAGAAAACTTGAGCGTGCATAACCCATTCTTCAAGGCAAAACTGCTCCAGCTCCTTCAAGTTGGATGGGTTCCACTGGTGTACAGCAATCTTTATGTCATACCACTGATTCTCAATTGGATTGAGGTCTGGGCTATGACTAGGCCATTCCAAGACATTCAAACGTTTCCCCTTAAACCACTCAAGTGTTGCTTTAGCAGTATGCCTAGGGTCATTGTCCTGCTGGAAGGTGAACCTCCGTCCCAGTCTCAAATCTCTGGAAGACTGAAACAGGTTTCCCTCAAGAATTTCCCTTTATTTAGCGGCATCCATTTCCTTCAATTCTGACCAGTTTCCCAGTCCCTGCCGATGAAAAACATCCCCACAACATGATGCTGCCACCACCATGCTTCACTGTGTGTAATGAATACTCAAGGAGAAAAAGGTGTAGATTCACGTGCAGAGCACGGCAGGTGTTTATTACACCTTCACAAAAGGCAGGAATTGTGGTCACAGGCAGGCAATGGTCATACACAGGTAGGCAAACAGGCAGGAGAATCAAAAACTAGGACTGAAGGCTATAACTGGTTCTCACAAACGAGCTAGGAAAAGGCTTAGTAGAGTCAAAACGAACAATAACTCACAAGGTACAAACAGAATGAACTGAACTAAATAAGGAGCTAATGAGACCAGGTGAGTAACAAACACAGGTTAAATCAATGAACAAAAATGAAAGACAGGGCTACGTTCAAGAACACAAAGAAACAGGGCTACGTTTGTGAACATTACACTGTGGGGATGGTGTTCTCGGGGTGATGAGAGGTGTTGGGTTTGCGCCAGACTTAGCGCTTTCCTTGATAGCCAAAAAGCTCAATTTTAGTCTCATCTGATCAGAGTACCTTCTTCCATATGTTTGGGGAGTCTCCCACATGCCTGTTGGCGAACACCAAACGTGTTTGCTTATTTTTTTCTTTAAGCAATGGCTTTTTTCTGGCCACTCTTCCGTAAAGCCGTGCTAGCTGTGCCACTAGAGATCCTGGTTCGAGTCCAGGCTCTGTCGCAGCCGGCCGCGACCGGGAGACCCATGGGCGGCGCACAATTGGTCCAGCGTCGTCCAAGGTAGGGGAGGGTTTGGCCGGCAGGGATGTGGGTTCGTTTCCCACGGGGGGCCAGTATGAAAAAAACAATGTATGCGTTCACTAACTGTAAGTCGCTCAAAGGGTTCACGCACCGCGTGAAAGTTAAAGGGGATGTTACTGATGTGCAACAAAAACTAAGTTGACTACCACTGTCTGTTAAAAAAGTGGTCTCTGCTGACCTGGTTCGCTTGCTAATTGCTAACCTCTAATATTATTGAGAAAATCGATGCCTCCCCGTGGGTTTCACCCATAGTGGTTACCAAAAAGAAAAATTGAGATATACGCATGTGTGTGAACTTGCGCAAGCCAAACAAAGCAGTGATCATTGACAGTTATCCACTTCCTCACATGGAAGATCTCTTTGCTGAGCTACAAGGTGCTACTGTGTTCTCAACCATTGATTTGGCTAGTGCCTACCATCAGGTCCTCCTTCACGACGAGAGCCGGGACTTGACAGCGTTCATTACGCACAACAGCCTTTTCAGGTCCTGCGTTTTCAAAATATGATTTCCTCCCTACTGCAGAACATACAAGGTGCACAAGCCTACCTGGATAACATCATAATATACAGAAAAATGAAATAGGAACATGACTGCAACTTGCAAGCCGTTCTCAGCACCTTGGAGAACGCTGGTCTGCTGCTAAACAAAGAAAAATGTCACTTCAACAAAATGAGCCTGACCTTCCTTGGTCATACCATCACAGCACAATGACTACTACTTGATTATGGACATGTCAGTGCCATTCTTAAGGCCCCTGCTCCTTCCGATGCTACCACCCTGCGCTCCTTCCTTGACTGAACTGGGTGGTACTCCAAATTCATCCGCAATTACTCTACAAAGGTCGAGCATATGCGCGCCTGCCTCAGGACAGACGGCCCTTTCACGTGGACGGATGCTGCGCAGGATAGCTTCGAGAAAGTCAAGCAGCTGATTGTTGATAGCTCTGCCCTGGCTATATTCGACCCTGCTCTTCCTATCCTGGTGTCCACTGATGCATCAGATTATGGCTTGGGTGGTGTGCTTACGCAAGTACATCCAGATGGAACAGAACGCACAGTGGCGTTTGCATCCCGTTTCCTCTCCTCAGCCGAGCGCAAATACTCTATAGCAGAAAAGGAAGCGCTTGCCTGTGTGTGGTCGGTTGAGCGGTGGTGAACGTTCCTGTGGGGTTTTACACCACGAACTGATCATCAGGCCCTTACTACCCTATTGGCATCAAAATGCGTCGGTCGCACTGGATTGCGCATTGCGAGATCACTGCTATCCACTGAGCTCAACGCTCTGTCAGTGGCTGAGTTCTCCTCCGAATGTGCTACATGCCCAGAACTGCTTTACGCAGCCAGATTGAAAAAGGCTGGCCCAAAACGAGAAAAATTTTTTCCCCAGACCTGTTACCTTACTTTACCATTCGGGAGGAACTCCCTGTACAAGACTGTTTAGTGTACCATGGTCCAAACCGCCTGCTAGTGACCATTACGCTGCGTCACAGACTGGTTTCACTAGCTCATGACATCCACCAGGGAGTCGTCCGAACAAAACAAAGGCTCCGTGAGCTCTACTGTAAACCTAGAATGGACACTGTCAGACAAATGACAAAACTACAAAGACGCATTTCGCGCCTCTCCAGCCTGTTCCCCTTCCTGAAGGCCATTGGTAAAAACTTGGAATTGACATTGTTGGTCCGTTTGAAACTGCCCCAGCAGATTGTCACGACGCGATAACCCTCATGGATTCCTACAGTAAATGGCCTGAGGCTGCGTTCACCAGTAATGTAACTACCCAGGCTGTCATTCAATTCTTAACTGATGTGTTCAGTCGCAACGGAAATTGCTACGAAATCGTAAGCGATAATGTTGCCCAATTTACTTCAAAAGAATGGACATTAAACACACCAAAGTGTCTGTGTACTACCCACGAACAAATGGAAAGGTGGCACGCTGGAACCGCGTTCTAAAAGACTGTTTCCAAACGGCGATCCGAAGGGTAAAGCCTTGGAAACCATATGTGCAACAATTTCTCATGCACTACAGGAGGACAGCTCATGCCACTACATGAGTTGCGCCCTGTGTGCTGTTGAACAACAGAATGCTGCGCACAAAACTTAACATTCTCCCACGATGCCTTGCGTACCAGAGTGTGTGCCATACAAGAAAAAGTGAAATCCTACACGGATGCCAAACGGGGGGCGAAATGATCAATCATCAAAGAGGGAGATCATATGCGGGTAAAACTTCCCTTTCATGTCAAAAAGGGTGCACCAAATTACAGTGCGCCACACGAAGTTATCCAAAGGAAAGGACCATACACATATGTCATTGACGACAGAACGGAAAGACATGGAATGCGTCGCATCTCTCACTGTGTCCTGAGCAGGCCACACTATTAAATGGTGCTGTTCATCCCCAAGTACCCTTGCACTCACAACAGACTATTCAAACAGAGAGGCAGAAGAAGCCCGGCTTGGCTAAAGGACTATATTCAGTAAAATCTGAAAGGTTGTGAGTAATGTAATTGACTGTAAGTGTCAATGTGATATTCTGATGTTACTGTCGTTATGGTTATTGTACTGTGCGTTTTAACAGTGTTATTAGTATGTGCTTTGTATAAGAATAACTGTTCAATTCAAGAATTGTGGAATGCTTTAGTTGGGTTATGCTTGGAGAGAGGTTTACTTTCACAAGAGGGAAATATGTTGTGTTCTGGTGCACTACCCACGTTTACCACTAGAGACAACAGGTATTTTATTCTACATATTCTGTCAGAGAACAGAAGTATAATAAGAACAGGATTTCAGATAGGGAGAAGAAGAGGATGTATGTGCTGATGATGTATGCTGTGATGGAGTGCTAAGCTTGCCGAGTAAACTTACCCTTAATTATACACATCCTGTCCTCATGTTACTGAGCTTACTACACTACACTCTGATTGGCTCAAAGTCAAGTTGTCTGACACTGCCTAGCTTTGCGATTCTACAAGTAGGCAGGTTCATCGGTACCAGGTCGGTACGCAGCAGGTACATATTTAGTTCTAGCAAGAGAAGGAACGGCCTCCTACTGTGATAAGTACCAATCAGCAGTCTATCGGCTGTCTATCGTGTTTCATTTAAGTGCACTACTTTTGACCAGGACACATAGGGTGCCATTTGAGACACACCCCAAATGAGTAATCTGTGGCAATGTGATGCTTGTGTCATGAGAGAAGCTGAACTGTTTACTATGGAAAATGTAGGAAGAAACTATCAACAAAGCATTGAGGACAGTGGAAAATGTACCATGAAATGATACATTTCAAGTTTTTATTGTCATTTGTATTTGTAGTTATTGAGGATCCCCATTAGCTGCTGCCAAGGCAGCAGCTACTCTTCCTAGGGTCCAGCAACATTAAGGCATATATATATAATTTAAAATATTACATGACATTACATTTCATAACACTTTACCCAATACATTTAGTGTGTTCCCTCAGGCCAAGTACAGTGAAATGCCTTTCTTGTATGATCTTTCCCAACAATGCAGTAATCAATATCAGCAGTACTATTAAAAAAAATACATTAAAAAGTCAAGTAGAACAAAAACACACGAGAAGAATAATAAGAAAGTAAGGAAGCTACAGTGCATTCGGAAAGTATTTAGACCCCTTCACTTTTTCCACATTTTGTTGCGTTAGAGCCTTCTTCTGGATATGTTTTTTTTCCCTCATCAATTTACACACAATACCCCATAATGACAAAGCGAAAACAGGTTTTTAGAAAAAACTAAAATACCATATTTACATAAGTATTCAGACCCTTTGCTATGAGACTCGAAATTGAGCTCAGGTGCATCCTGTTTCCATTGATCATCCTTGAGATGTTTCTACAACTTGATTGGAGTCCACCTGTGGTCAATTCAATTGATTGGACATGATTTGGAAAGGCACACACCTGTCTATATAAGGTCCCACAGTTGACAGTGCATGTCAGAGCAAAAACCAAACCATGAGGTCGAAGGAATTGTCCGTAGAGCTCTGAGACAGGATTGTGTCGAGGCACAGATCTGGGGAAGGGTACCAAAACATTTCTTCAGCATTGAAGTTCCCCAAGAACACAGTGGCCTCCATCATTCTTAAATGGAAAGAAGTTTGGAACCACCTAGAGCTGGCCGCCCGGCCAAACTGAGCAATCGGGGGAGAAGGGCCTTGGTCAGGGAGGTGACCAAAAACCCGATGGTCACTCTGACAGAGCTTCAGAGCTCTGTGGAGATGGAAGAACCTTCCAGAAGGACAACCATCTCTGCAGCACTCCACCAATCAGGCCTTTACGGTAGAGTTGCCAGACGGAAGCCACTCCTCAGTAAAATGCACATGACAGCCCGCTTGGAGTTTGCCAAAAGGCACGTAAAGGACTCTCAGAACATGAGAAACAAGATTCTCTGCTCTGATTAAACCAAGATTGAACTCTTTGGCCTGGATGCCAAGCGTAACGTCTGGAGGAAACCAGGCACCGCTCATCATCTGGCCAATACCATCCCTACGGTGAAGCATGGTGGTGGCAGCATCATGCTGTGGGGATGTTTTTCAGCGGCAGGGACTGGGAGACTAGTCAGGATCGAGGGAAAGATTAACGGATTAAAGTACAGAGGGATTATTAATGAAAACCTGCTCCAGAGCGCTCAGGACCTCAGACTGGGGTGAAGGTTAACCTTCCAACAGGACAACGACCCTAAGCACACAGCCAAGACAACGCAGGAGTGGCTTAGGGACAAGTCTCTGAATGTCCTTGAGTGGCCCAGCCAGAGCCTGGACTTGAACCCGATCGAACATCTCTGGAGAGACCTGAAAATAGCTGTGCAGCGACGCTCCTCATCCAACCTGACAGAGCTTGAGAGGATCTGCAGAGAGGAATGGGAGGAACTCCCCAAATACAGGTGTGCCAAGCTTGTAGCGTCATACCCAAGAAGACTCAAGGCTGTAATCGCTGCCAAAGGTGCTTCAACAAAGTACTGAGTAAAGGGTCTGAATACTTATGTAAATGTGATATTTCAGTTTATTTATATATATATACATTTGCAAAAATGTAGAAACACCTGTTTTTGCTTCGTCATTATGGGGTATTGTGTGTAGATTGATGAGAAAAATAAAAAATAAATCAATTTTAGAATAAGTCAAAGGGGCTGAATCCTTTCCGAATGCACTGTATTGTCCTTTTTGCTTGTTTGATGGCTTTGCAGAGGTCATAGCGGGACTTCTTGTACTAAAAACAAAGGACATCTATTTAAATGTAGGTGTTTCAACATGGATCGTATGGAAAATGTAGGAGGGACTGATAAACAGACGACAGGAAGAGAGTGCCAAATCTATCTATTTGGGGACATTAAGCTGATTCAAAGTGCAGTCAGAAGACCCTTGACACTTCCTGTAAATTACAGCTAGAAAGAGCATCCATGACATGAGAGTGCTGCAGCCTATAGAACATGTGTCAATATCTGATAGATAATGCACTCGAGGCTTAGCCTAAGTCCTACATCTGTTTGTGCTGTCTTGCCAATTCATATGTTATTTTCAATAGGAGTTGGCAAGACAGCACAAACCGCTCTGGGACTCAGGGTACTTGTGGCTGTACCCCATGGAACATTTAGGAGATGATGACACTTTTTTAGTATTTTTTGTGTACTCTGTAAGACATGCAGATAGGCATAGCGCGTGTAGCTAGTAGTGTAGCACAAAGGACACAGAGGCAGATAAGAGTAGAGCAGCGCAATAGCTCTTTCCCTGGTTTACCTTTTGGAAAGATCCCAGCAGTCGCATGGCATGACTAACTCGCTGAATAATGGAATAGGTTGGTGGGTTGGTAGTCACTTTGACTGAAGTCAGCCTTGAAAGCTCAATTTTGTTCCATTTTAATTGGAAATGACAAAAATGTGTGGGGGAAACCCCAAATACATCAACCATGAACATTGGTTGGATTCATTCAAACATTCACCTGTAACCCATAATATCAACGCAAAACAGCAAAACAGACTGAGTTACAGTAAGACTGTCATTTTAGTTTCACTATAACCTCAATCTTCAAATTATAGTTATTAGATTGTTATGAGATGATAACAGCAAGAGTATGCTTTTAATCTGAATAAATAAATTATATAATACCGGTAATAATCCTGTCCTGTTACAGTGAATTATTCTGCTTGCCAGATCTGTTTGTGCTTGACCCAACTCCTTTCTGTTTTGGCATGACAACGACCAAGCAGTTGGCTAAAGCAGAAGTACTGTATATCTGGCAACCAGGCTAGCAGAAAATATGTTGGGAGGGATTGGGATATTTCATCACTGAGAGGTGTTTAAGGAGATCATTGTGAATGTTTCAGCACTGGCAAGTTTTTATGGATATTAAGCAGAGTAGATTGTTTCAGTACTAGCTAGTGTTTAATTGTGTATTTTTCAGCACTGGGAGGTGTTTAAGGAGATCACAGAGGTGTTTATCTTGGTGCCAGCCCTGGTGGGACTGAAAGGCAACCTAGAGATGACACTGGCATCCAGACTGTCTACAGCAGTGAGTGGATGCACAATTTCACACACACTCATAGGCACGCATGCACACACACAGACACTGACACACACACACACTCAATGCTGGCACGACATGTTTAAAGCTCAAACGAAAACGTGATTTTACACACAAACACACAACCATTTAAATGTTATATCTCTCCCCCTCTCCTCTCTAACTTCCCCTCCCTCCTCCCTATCAGGCTAACACTGGGCAGATGGATGACCCGAAGCAGCAGTGGAGGATGGTGTGTAGCAACTTGGCTCTCATTCAGGTGACACTGACCTCTCTGTCCAGCAAACACCAATGGCATTTTATCAACCCAGTGCTGTCACTTTGGCTAGCCTGTAATGTCAACCACACAAGTTATTATAGAGTGAGTTTATCTGTGAATCCAACAGAGGGCACAAGATGGTGTCATTGTATCAAGGCAATGACATGTCTCAGTACCATGCTTAATTCATTCTCTCTCTCTCTCTCTCTCTATCCCCCTCCTTCCTTTCCTGTCCCCATACCTTTCCCTTGCTGACTCTCCTGTTCTCTCTCTCTCTCTCTCTCTGTTTCTCTCTCTGTGTTTCTCTCTCTCTCTCTCTCTGTTTCTCTCTCTCTCTCTCTCTCTCTGTTTCTCTCTCTCTCTCTCTCTCTTTGTTATTCCCCCTCTCTCTTCCTCCATAGGTCCAGGCCACAGTGGTGGGTTTCCTGGCTGCAGTAGCTGCAGTGGGGTTGGGCGCGTTGACCAGGGGTCATGTAGACTTGCTACAGGCTGCTGTCCTATGTGGCAGTAGTGTCACCACAGCCTTTGTAGCTGCCCTGTCCTTGGGTAGGTCAACGGGACAAAACCACAACAGTATACTTGCCACTAGCTGATATACAAGCTCTGACTGACACCAGTAACTCTAGGTAGTATTGTAGCGAACGGATAAACGGGGACGTGAACCCAGGTCGCTAGTGTGAAAGGCAAGCGCCCTACCCATTGCGCCAATAAGTGTAACGCCATATACCAACTATGGTTAAGCCACTTTGTGGGAATTGTAACAGGGCTCATTAGTGAAGATTGCTACACCATGTTATCACTTCGATTGTTCAGATGTTTAGCAGCTGCATATTTATTAGGTAAACCAGAAATTGAGAGTGATCTTTTCTATCTTTTGGCAATAGATCACAGTCAGGAACCCTACAAACCGTAAGAGTTGTCCTGCTGAAATGTTTGAATATATAAATGAAACTAGATATGCCCTTTGATATTGATGATTCTATTTTAGATTGACAGTAGACCATAGTATGTGTGTCCACTCTCTGTGTCGGTAGGACTAGTGATGGTGGGAGTGATCATTGGCTCCAGGAAGGTGGGCATCAACCCTGACAATGTGGCCACACCCATCGCTGCCAGCTTGGGTGACCTCATCACCCTCTTTCTGCTGGCCGGGGTCAGCAGCTTCCTCTTCAGGTTCAAAGGTCAGATGAATCGCCACAAAATAACTAGAATGTGCCGGAATCTGGTTGAGCGGTAACTCTCTCAACCACCGGACCACTTATGCTCCCCCCGGCAACGGGGTTCCAGCCTCGGCCACTCTCTGTGCCCTTCCTTCCTGTCATTCCTCCTTCATTGTCTGTACCCCTCACTTCATACTGTCCTGTCGGGGGGAAAAAAACTGTAAAAGTACAAAAGGATGTTTGAATCTCTGACTAGGCCCATCTTGATGATTCCCAGGACTGGATGCAATATTGAAGAATGCCTAGGTGGAGCCAGAGCCAATATTATACTAAATATATGGCTCTGGGTAGAGCTATTTTCATATGCCTAGGTTCCGATTCCCTACACTTCTCCCCAAAATGGGCACTTGTTCCCCCCTCATGTATTTAAAAGTATTGGATTAATGTATGCATGGGCTAGACCATAGCCACGGGAAGTAGGAGTGCTGAGAGTGCTGCAGCACCTCCTGGTAAATTAATTTTTTGTTTTTAAATGCCCTACTAAATGAGTATCTTTATTACTCCTGTATGAGCGGAGAAAAATACTCAGCAACCCCCCCTGTCGACTGCACCCCCGTCAACAGCACCCCACCCCATAACACCTTCCCACGGGCAAGGGCTAGACTAGATGGAGTTTCCACAATATGTTTTACACCAGTTCATGAAGGGGAATTAATGAGTGCACACTTTGACGAGAAGGGTAAAGAATGAGACAGTAGCCCAGTTCTTTCAGATTTTGTAGGAAAGTGCTTGGTAGAAAAGGGTTGATTTGAAACTGATCTCTCATTATTTCCAGCTGGAATAGACTATGATCACAAAGTAGATATTTTACATTACTTCATCGTTATTTCATTGTACGTTTACAGGCAAGAAAATGTTTTATTGACCTTTGCAGTGAATAAAAAATCGAATTACTTTCCAAATTAAATATCCTCTCAAATCTCTCGAAAGACAATTCATATTCAGTACTTATTTTCTGCCATTAGTAGAGGGCAGCAAAGTCTGGTTCCCTTTCAGTTGATACTCTCGGTACAATACAACTATGGGGAGTCGCACTCTCGCTACTTCGATTGAAGAACTAACATCACGCCTGACAAGGCCAATGAAATCTGAACCTCGCTGGAAGCCCCGCCTTCCACAGGTGATAAGCCCAAGGCTCGGATTCCTTTAATACTTCTGCTCTTCACTTCGATGTGAGCAGGAACGATTCACGCTACTAAAAACAAACATTTTTGGATCACTTTGTGGTAGAGCGTGCTCACTCCCTTGACTTTGTGTGCTGGAGTTTTTCTATTTGTTCTCCTAGTTTCCTAACCACAAACCAATTAGTTAATCGGATTGCTTGGCCTGGTTGTAGCAAAGAGTAAGATGGCTAACGCGAACGAAAAGACGAAGGCTAACAAGCCAGGTTTGGGTTCACGACCATGCCCAAATGAATAAAAAGATACTCACGTTTATTGTCTTGTATGTCTCAGCGCATGCTCTGGCTGCCCTCGCTTGAATCAGTTTGTGTGCGGGACTAGGGGACGATGTCAGTAACAGTGGCTTGCCCGCGGCGCAGGTTCTCTTGACAATTGTGTAGCATTCTTGAGGAGGCTTGGTGTTTCTGATAGTGACTTCCTCTCAAGGGTGCCCGTACCTTGGCTGAATCTGAGTTGCGGGACGTAGAGATGGATTGGGTCTGGTCGGATGCAAATGTAATGTCTGCCTGGGCGTGGTGTATGCGGTAGCTTCCCGCGCTCAACCTGGTTTGGGATGAGTCGGACCGCAGAGTGAAGCAAAAGCAGCCAACAAGTGCTCAGCATATGTGGGAACTCCTTCAAGACTGTTGGAAAATCATTCCAGGTGAAGCTGGTTGAGAGAATGCCAAGAGTGTGCAAAGCAGTCATCAAGGCAAAGGGTGGCTATTTGAAGAATCACAAATATAAAATATATTTTCATTTGTTTAACACTTTTTTGGTTACTACATGATTATTATTATGTTATTTCATAGTTTTGATGTCTTCACTATTATTCTACAATGTAGAAAATAGTAAAAATAAAGAAAAACCCTTGAATGAGTAGTGTATGTAGCTGTCAAGACTTCCGCCGACGGGCAGGTTTCGGCGTTCGTCATCACCGGCTTACTAGCCACTACCGCTCCATTAATCATCATTCCATTTGTCTTGTCTGGTCAATCACACAAACCTGGTTCTTATCCCCTCATTAGTCTGTGTATAAGTGTTCCCTCTGGCCCCCTTGTCCTTGTGTGTGATTGTTTTTTTTGCGCCTGACTCCTTCTATCACACTCATCACAGAATCACCCACCTCAGGTGTGGAGATGGTGGGAGATTGCATTTCAGCCGTGCGTAATTTGCCGACTCCAACCACGGTTAAGGAGATGCTGCGCTTCCTTGGCTTCACCAATGACTATCGGAGATTTATCCGGGGCTTTGGCAAGGTTGCAGCTCCCATTACATCCCTGTTGAAGGGTGGGCCTTCCTGGCTCTGCTGGTCTGCTGAGGCTGACCTGACCTTCAGGAAACTGCGGGGTCTGTTCACCTCAGCCCCGGTACTGGCCCACCCCGATCCATCATACATTCGTAGTGGAGGTGGATGCATCCGAGGTAGGGATAGGCGCTGTCCTATCCCAACGCACGGGCACGCCACCCAAGCTCCGCCTCTGTGCCTTCTTCTCTAAGAAGCTCAGCCCGGCGGAGCAGAACTACGACGTTGGTGATCAGGAGCTGTTGGCTGTTGTCCGAGCTTTGACCGTGTGGAGGCATTGGCTCGAAGAGGCGAAACACCCTTTCCTCGTCTGGACGGACCACCGTAACCTGGAGTACATCCGGGCAGCGAGGAGGCTGAATCCTCGCCAGGCCAGGTGGGCCCTATTCTTCACCCAGTTTGATTTTACACTGTCATACATTCCGGGTACGAAGAACGTGAAGGCAGACGCACTGTCCCGGCTGTATGACACAGAAGAGAGGCCCAGAGACAACACCCCCATACTCCCGGCCTTCTGCATTGTGGCACCGGTAGTATGGGCGATGGACGCAGATATAGAGCAGGCATTACGCACAGATCCATCTCCACCTCAGTGTCCAGCTGTGCTGCGGTAGTGCCTGTTCTTATCCATGATCGTCTGATCTTCTGGGCACACACGTCACCCTCCTCTGGTCACCCAGGTATCGGTCGTACAGTGCGCTGCCTGATAAGAAAGTACTGGTGGCCTACCTTGGCTAAGGACGTGAGGGTATACGTCTCCGCCTGCTCGGTGTGTGCCCAGAGTAAGGCACCTAGGCACCTCCCAGCGGGTAAGTTACAACCTTTACCAGTTCCACAATGACCATGGTCTCACCTTAGTGTTGATTTCTTGACTGATCTTCCCCTCTCCCAAGGTAACACCACCATCCTGCTTGTTGTGGACCACTTTTCCAAGTCCTGCCGCCTCCTTTTTCTCCCCGGTCTCCCCACGGCCCTGCAGACTGCGGAGGCCCTGTTTACTCATGTCTTCCGGCACTACGGGGTGTCCAGAGGATATAGTGTCCGACCGAGGTCCCCAGTTCACGTCCAAGGTTTGGAAGGCGTTCATGGAACGTCTAGGGGTCTCGGTCAGCCTGACCTCTGGGTTCCACCCCGAGTCAAATGGGCAGGTGGAACGGTGAATCAGGATATGGGTAGGTTCCTGCGGTCCTACTGCCAGGACCGGCCGGGGGAGTGGTCGGTGTTCTTGCCATGGGCAGAATATGCCCAGAACTCTCTCCGCCACTCCTCTACTAACCTAACGCCATTCCAATGTGTTTTAGGTTACCAACCGGTTCTGGCACCGTGGCACCAGAGCCAGACCGAGGCTCCTGTGGTGGATGACTGGTTTCTGCGTGCAGAGGAGACGTGGGACGCTGCCCACATTCACCTTCAGCGCGACGTGCGTCATCAGAAGGCCAATGCTGACGTCACCACAGTGAGGCCCCGGTCTTCGTACCGGGGGATCGGGTCTGGCTCTCGACCCGGAATCTGCCCCTCCGCCTGCCCTGCCGGAAGCTGAGCCCGCAGTTTGTGGGGCCGTTCAAAGTCCTGAGGAGAATCAACGAGGTTACTTATAGGTTATTACTTCACCCTGATTACCGTATTAACCCCTCGTTTCATGTGTCTCTCCTCAGGCCGGTGGTGGTTGGTCCGCTCCAGGAGTCTGAGGTTCGGGAGGTTCCTCCACCTCCTCTGGACATCGAGGGGGCCCCGGCGTACTCTTTCCGTTCCATCCTGGATTCGAGGCGTCGGGCTTTCAGTACCTTGTGGAGTGGGAGGGGTACGGTCTGGAGGAACGGTGCTGGGTCACGATATCCTCGATCCCTCCCTGTTGCGGGATTTCCACCGTCGCCATCCGGCTCGTCCTGCTCCGCGTCCTCCTGGCCGTCCCCGAGGCCGGGGTTGGCGTGCGGCTGGAGCTGCGTGTCAAGGGGGGGGGGTTCTGTCACGACTTCCACCGAGGCTGCCTCCCCTCCTTGTTCAGGCAGGTTTCGGCATTCGTCGTCACCGGCTTACTAGCCACTGCCGCTCCATTATTCATCATTCCATTTGTCTTGTCTGGTCAATCACACACACCTGGTTCTTATCCCCTCATTAGTCCGTGAATAAGTGTTCCCTCTGCCCCCCTTGTCCTGTGGGTGATTGTTTTTTTGTGAGAGTAGTGTAGCTCGGTGGAGCTACTCGTACCTTATTATTATTATTGCCGGGGTAGATATTTCCCCTGTGCTTGTTATTGTTGGAGCTACCGTTACATTGGCACAGGTCCTAATCCAGGCACTTGTCATCTCCCGTCTGGATTACTGCAACTCGCTGTTGGCTGGCCTCCCTGCCTGTGCCATTAAACCCCTACAACTCATCCAGAACGCCGCAGCCCGTCTGGTGTTCAACCTTCCCAAGTTCTCTCACGTCACCCCCCTCCTCCGCACACTCCACTGGCTTCCAGTTGAAGCTCGCATCCGTTACAAGACCATGGTGCTTGCCTATGGAGCAGTGAGGGGAACGGCACCTCTGTACCTTCGGGCTCTGATCAGTCCCTACACCCAAACGAGGGCATTGCGTTCATCCACCTCTGGCCTGCTGGCTCCCCTTCCTCTGCGGAAGCATAGTTCCCGCTCAGCCCAGTCAAAACTGTTCGCTGCTCTGGCACCCCAATGGTGGAACAAGCTCCCTCACGACGCCAGGACAGCGGAGTCACTCACCACCTTCCGGAGACATTTGAAACCCCACCTCTTTAAGGAATACCTGGGATAGGATAAAGTAATCCTTCTACCACCACCCCCCCCCCCCCCCCCCCCCACAACCCCCCACAAAAAAAATTTTGTAAAGTGGTTATCCCACTGGCTATAGGGTGAATGCACCAATTTGTGAGTCGCTCTGGATAAGAGCGTCTGCTAAATGACGTAAATGTGCCCTTGAGCAAGGCACTTAACCCTAATTGCTCCTGTAAGTCGCTCTGGATAAGAGCGTCTGCTAAATGACTAAAATGTAAATGTATTGCCAGGGTAGATTTTCCCCTGTGCCTGTTTCGCTTGTCGCTATCCAGCGCTATTTGTGTACGACGGAATAAACTCTGCATTCGGTGATTACCCTCCTGCGCTTGACTCCTTCTATCACACTCATCACAGTAACGTTAAGTCGCTTGGTTATTCTAAACGGACCGTGTTGCAATCAAAGAGGCTATCTAGCCTAGCTTAGACAAAACATTTGCTAAAGTCGGCTAGCATGCATAACTTCTGGCAAATTAAAATTCCTAGCTTTCCCCCGGCATTATGGCAACTCATCCCTATTTCCAATTCCTGGAGTTGGAGGGAGTGGAGGAAGCAGGGCTTGATTGCACCTCCGATAAGGAAGCAGCCCCCGAGCACTTGGCTTGGGTAACCCCGGAGCGAGGGGCCTTAGCACGGGTCTGAGGGACCAGTGCGCCCCTCCACAAAAACATTACTGTTACACACACACTCTGTGGTTCATATGAACCCTGAAATGAGCTGTCTGTCTCCAGCGCAATGCTTTTCATTCCCGAGAAGCAACAGCGGTTACATGCCATTTGTCCAGTACGAGCTTTACACAAGTACATTGAGCGGACCCAGGATATCCTGTTATGTGACCAGCTTTTTGTCTGTTTTGCACTTCCAGCTCACGGCAGGGCGCTCTCTAAGCAGTGTCTCTCCCACTGGAATGTGAAGGCTATCTCCCTGGCATATGGCTGCAAGGGGCAAGAGTTACCTCACCACATACTTTTGTGAGTTTTATCGCTTGGATGTCACTGCTCCCAGTGTAGCCCACAGTCTGCTTACAGCTGGGACAGGAGTGGGTCATTAGGCAGCACGCAGTGTGCACAATACCCAGACTACCGCATCTTGCGTGGTGGAGGTCTGGGTAGTCTGCCATGGGCCATTTCATTTGGTATCCATTGGGGCCGGTTTGGGGCGGGATTTCATTTCCCCATAGTTGTGTTGTACCAAGAGTACCGACTGAAAAGGAATGTAAAGTTAGGACTATAACTACTGTTCCCTGAAGGAGGGAAACGAGGTACAACACAACTATGGGGAAATTAATTAAAGGAATGAATCCGAGCCTCGGCTTATCACCTGTGGAAGGCTGGGCTTCCAGCGAGGCGCGGATTTCATTATCCTTGTCAGGCATGATTTCAGTTCTTCAATCGAAGTCGCGAGAGTGCGACTCCCCATAGTTGGGTTGTACCTCGTTTCCCTCCTTCAGGGAACAGTAGTTACAGTCATAATGTTACGTTCGCTGGTTATTGCAGGTCTGCTTGATAAATGTCTAACACAGTGTATTGGGTGTGTTCCAGATACCAATTTTAACACTTATTTTATACCTGTGTAAAAAAATGTGTATGTGGAATCTGCTCACCTTCTCACACACACTCGCTACCTGTCCTGTCTTCCAGAGATGTGGTACCTGCCTGTGCTGGTGTGTGGCTTCTTCCTGGTTCTCATCCCGCTGTGGGTGGTCATTGCCCGGCGCTCTCCTCCAATTAGAGAGGTCCTGAGGTCTGGGTGGCAGCCCGTCATCGTGGCCATGTCCATCAGCAGGTAAAGGCCTGGGACTTTCAACAATCTATTGTAATTCAATCAACATTCTATCAATATTCAATCAATGTTCTATTAATGATATACAAAAGACTCAGGAGCTTCCAACTAGCTTTCAAGGAGACAAATATGCAGTATATGTGTCTTGAAGGTCTTAATTGCTTCCTCTTTTGTCACCTTTATCTAAACTGATTTGATATAACTGGACAGGTAAAATATACTTCTCAGTAGGCTTCCATGCACCATTTCGCTTTCATCTATCCTCTCCTTTCAGATCAATGCAGATAATTTTTTTTAGAACTTTTATGACATATTATGACATGTCCCTTAGACACTTTTCAGCTTTGAACATGTTAAGTGGCGTTTGTGTCCCATTGTGTCCTTTTAAACCACAGTATCGGAGGCCTTATACTGGACAAGACCGTGAGCGACCCGAACTTTGAGGGCATGGCGGTATTCACCCCAGTAATCAACGGTGAGTGGACCGAACCATACTCCTCAAACAAATCAAAGGGTGGGACCTTCGTATAATTCAATGCTCAGATTTAAATCTTATTTCAATGTTGAATAGTTCCTACTTCCTCCTAACTAACAAATATCCTCAAGAATCCACCCGAGAAACAGCTGTCCCACTGGGCAAATACTGGTTGAATCAATGTAGTTTCCACATCATTTCAACCAAGAAAATCAATGTGATGACGTTGAATCAACGTGGAAAACTGATTGGATTTGCAAAAAGTCATCAACATAAGGGCATTTAGTCATTTTTTCACCCAACTTTTGACCTAAATCCAATGATATGGTGACGTTGTTGATTTCACGTTGAATTCATGTTAGTTGACAACTCAACCAAATGTAAATCAAAACTAGAGGTTGAACGTCTGTGCCCAGTGGGATATGGGAAAAACTAGAAACAGGTTTAACCTTTTTGCAATGCTGCTTACCCTTACTAAATATGTCTCTCGTAAAACCACCATTAAATCTCATTTGTGCTCATGTCGGGAAATGGGTTTGAGTCAAGAAGCCATAGCTTAATTGGTCTCAAGTGGTTATAAACAGAGCATCACTTTCCTTATATATATGTTATCCCTAGCCTGTCCACTACTGTAACATATTATGTAAGCTTAAATGTCAAATCTGGTACTCCTTTCCCTCAAAGACAACATCTGGTTGTCTTGGTAGAGAGATATATGACGTATGAGAAAATAGATGGGCGTGGGATCTTGTCCTGTTACATTTAAACTGTCTTTGAAGTGTGACAGTAAATTACTATCATTTGTGTGATTGTTTATAAAAGCACAACAGCTTAATGTAAAGCATCTAAATGGCATCAACATTTTATTTCATTAGTCATAAGTCAGCTCCACACAAGTTGCAGAGTGCCAAGTCACTAAAGGCCTAGTCTGTGATATTTACAGACATTTTTGATCATTTAAGTTAGTGATATATACCTATTAATTGTGAAGAATATCACTTATAAATGCATTATGAGTCTTGAAAGCCATGACTATGTGGCCTCCCGAGATGTTTATTACTTATATGGAATAAAAGGACACTAATTTAAACCACTCAGCAGCCTAGTCAGAACATCAGAGGGGAAGGAGGAATGTTTTGAAGTTCCCACATCAGTAAATAAGACTCTTTAGTATGGCGATGTTTGTAACCCATGGCTAGCCACCATCACTGGAGAGGAATAACAATAGGGTTTACATAAACCTCAGCCTGTTTTGAATGAAAACTATACATTCTCTGCTTCGGATTTCCTCTATACTGCATCTTTGCCAGCCTCAGCTAGCGATACTAAAGCTTTTCGCTTTTATCTGCATTTCAAGACAGGAAGTACATTTGCATTGCCATTCAGTGTTTCTTTCTCTCTCTTATTCACTCTTTCTTTCTCCCTCCATCCCTGTTTATGTCTCTCTCACCGCTCTCCCTCTGCCTCCCTCACAATATCTCTCTTCCTCTCTCTCTCCTTCTGCCTCAATCACTCTCTCCCTCTCCACCTCTCTCCCTTCCTCTTCCCCCATCCAATAATATAGTGTCTAAATGGGTAAACTCATTGACTTAGCTGTAGGCTGTGGAAGCATGGCTGTTGAGAATGTGATTTTAAGAGCTATTGCAGGGAACTACAGCGAGACACGCTCAAGGCTATTAGACATATTTTTATCCCTCTCAGAGAGACACGCTCAAGGCTATAAGATATGCATTTATTATCCCTCTCATTTGGTCCTTCCATGTTTCTGAGTGAGGATGTGGTTAGGGTTATAAGGATCATATTGAGTTTCTCATGACTGGATGATACAAAGGATTAAGTAGAGGAACAGTTGTTGAAGTCTGCACCGACGCGCAGACTTCAACAACACCTGTAGCGTTGTGCTTGCTACCACGCTTTTAATGCTTCTCTGATTTGAAGAGAAGCGGTATAATCTCATTGTCACGACTTCCTCCGAAGCTGCCTCCTCTCCTTGTTCGGGCAGGCTTCGGCCTTCTAGCCACTGCCGCTCCTCATCTCATCATTACATTTCTTTTGTCTTGGTTATTACACACACCTGGTTCATATCCCCTCATCAGTACCTGGTATAAGTGTTCCCTCTGCCCCCTTGTCTTTGTGTGTGATTGTTTATTGTGGAGGTTAGATTAGCTCGGTGGAGCTCTTGTATTTTGTATCGGCGGGATATTCACCCGTGTGCCTTGTTGTTTCCAGTGCGCCGTATATTTCTGCAGTGTTTGACGCATTGCTGCGTACTGCTGTGTCAACGGAATAAACCTGTTCTTCTGTGATTTACCCTCCTGCGCCTGACTCCTTCAAATCACATCACCACACTCATGGACACAAGATCATGTTCTCTCTGTGCACAAACTCACTTTACAGATATGCCATTACAGTTACAGCAGAATAAGCCCTACAATTACCTTAAAGATGCTTCATAACCTTGAAAATACATATCATTTATTAAAGCTCAAGCCTAAATATGTAACAGACAATTTCAACAAATGATACCACAAAAAAACACCTACCTCTATTTCCAATGATTGTTATGTTCCTTCCCTTCACCCAGGTGTGGGAGGGAACTTGGTGGCCATCCAGGCCAGCCGCATCTCCACTTACCTCCACTACTGGAGCATGCCTGGGACCCTGCCCTCCAAGATGGCACAACACTGGCCTGGCCCCTGCCTGACCTTCTGCTCCTCAGGTCAGCAGTCAAAACACACTTCAAAAGTAACACAAACAAGCACAGGGGGCAAATTGGGGGCAAGGGAACAGTGCTCCACCACCTTAGGATAGGAGAAAGCATTTTTGTTGAATCGATTTTGTAATTGAAAGGCAACCAGTTATGGGAAAAATGTATTCACCTACAGTACAAAATCCCAATTTGACTACTGCACACATCCACACACAATATTACTTACCCATAGCAGTCGTCAGTTGACATTACCCTGCCTTGTCTTGCACACTTCCTCGTAGACGATAAAAGGATTGCTAACTTTTTTAAGTTTTAGATTATGTTCGACTTACCTAGGGTGTTGTCATTTCATCCAAACTGTTTTAAAGTCCTCTAAGTCTCCTGTTTACATCCACAGGGGTCAACTCCAAGTCAGCCAGGGTTCTGATCTTCCTGGTGGTTCCGGGTCACCTGATCTTCCTCTACACCATCCACTTACTGAAGGGTGGCCATGGCGCCCTCACGCCTGCCTTCGTCTGCCTTTACCTGTGTGCAGCCCTGCTACAGGTCAGAGGTCAAATGTATATGTACCACAGACATGAAACTATCTAAACCATAGACCGTATACAACTCCTACTGTAACAGCTGCATACTGTGTAGTGAAAAATCTATAAATAAAAAATATCACAAGAAAAGCTGACATTTGGACATAATAATAATTAATTAGAGTGCAATTATTTATTTAGGTTTTTTGGTCTATAACTAAACTTCAATGGTTGAAACCAAATAGGAATTGTGTAGAAATGATCATGGTGCTTTTTCAAATACTATAACACCCCTGTGTTATAATATTTTATTCTATATCATTTCATTTAACCGAGTTATTCCATAGTGACGCACTGCAAAAAGAAAGTAGGACAACTGTATTGCCATAAACCTGTGAACTTTGTGAAAATGTTAGGTGAATATTTATTTTCTCTGCAGCTCTTTTTTGTTTGGATCTCGCACATTAAGGGGGGTTTGGGTCGAGGGAATCATAGGCTTACACTAAAATCATTGGGCTGACTTTATCACGTCAAGATAAACAACGGCCTTAGTAGAAATGTTTCATAAAAGATTTACAGTTTCTCAGCCCTCTTGCTTGGCCGAACTCCAGCGCTGCAATTCAAACCACATGTTGCTGAAACAGGTCGACCAACAGACTGACACGTCTGGTTAGACCACAACAGTGTTTTAGTCCTGCTGTTTATCACATCGAATGGTCTTTTTCAGTAGAGTTGAAATTACCTGTGTTGTCATCTGCAACTTTTTAGGGTTAACTTGATAGCCACTTATCAGTAGGGGACATATAAAAATTATTATACACTGTATACAGCAACAGACAGATGTGGCTTACAAAAACCATATGTGATATAACTGTGCTGACTTGTGCAAGAGCATATGTGTAATAGTAACTATTTAAACCTAGACCGTATAAAAACAAGATCTAAACCAAGAGGCAATAGAATGATTACTGCTCAATAAAGAGTCAAGGATTGGGTTTGACTAAAGTCCAGCATACACAGTGGGTTATCAGGCCCAGCATAGCCAAATACTGTATCAGCTCTTCTCAGCATTGCTCCATGCACATAACCAAAGCTTAATCGTTCAGTTCCAACCAGTATGAACATAACAGTGGCATACAATGGAACAGAGGAGCGCTTGTTTGGTTATAGTTGTCCGACAAGAGGTGCCCTTTGAAAATGGGGATGAATACTTGCACAAGAAAAAATAAGTTGATGCTGGTAGTGTGAACAATACATATGTTTATTGTTATTCACAGGTGGTGATTCTGCTGTACACGGCTGACCTGATGGTCCGCTGGATGTGGCGGCGGGGGCTGGACCCGGACAACTACTCTATCCCGTACCTCACGGCTCTGGGGGACCTGTTGGGGACCGGCTTCCTGGCCCTGACATTCAGAGCCGTTCTATTGGGCATTTCCTCTGGGATGAAGGGGGTTTGAGAGAAGGAAGGCGCTAATCCATCAGCCTATTTCTATCCAACATGGTCTCATTGAATATATTAAAATAGTGACATTTAGCTATTGTAGTTATATGTCACTTATGCTGACGTATTATATGTGGTTCTGTTCATCCATAAGCAACTCTGTTCAGGTCAAATTTTGTATTTAACCTTTATTTAACCAGGTAAGCCAGTTGAGTACAAGTTCTCATTTACAACTGCAACCTGGCCAAGATAAAGCAAAGCAGTGCGATAAAAACAACAACAACACAGAGTTACACATGGGATAAACAAAACATACAGTCAATAACACAATAGAAAATGTATGTACAGTGTGTGCAAATGTAGTAAGTTATGGAGGTAAGGCAATAAATAGTCCATAGTGCAAAATAATTACAATTTAGTATTACATTTAAGTGATAATGGCCGAGAAGCTGGCGTCCGGAGGATATATTGGCATGGGTGTTGTTAGGCCCGAGACGAAGTGCCAATATATCCTCCAAACACCGGCTTCGAGGACATTATCACTTTTATACAACAGGTTACCAACATATTCAAATAATGATTGACATATTTTCATTAAAAACTGTATTTATATGAATTTATTCATACTATTTCATCCTTCCACAGGATATAGTCCCGACACAAATCTAGGGTTGCTACCCAAGCCGTTCTATCGGTTCGGTTGCCAGAGATGCGACCCAGTCGTTCAGTCTTTTTGTTCTATATCTATAGACGCGACCCAGTCGTTCGTTCTAAATGTTCCATTGCCATATTGGCTGGCAACGTTCTTATTCCTTGCTTGCTAGCTAGCCAACTACGGCTAACTTACGGTCATGTCAAAAAGTGCAGTCAGAACAACAGCAAAGTAACTGCATTTGTATTTGTTTAAGCTTTTTTCTAGTGACATTTATTTGGATACATCCATAACAATGAGCTAATGAGGCGCGATTTCACCTGGCATAGAAAATGTGCTCACTGGTCAGGACACTGTTGTTCAGAGGAGCTAGCCAACAACACAGCTAACACAATCACTTCAAACTGAAGCTGGAAAGACTGCAAACTAGCTGCACTTGGTTTCGTTTGACCTTTTTTCAATTTACATTTCTTTGTATATGTCCATTAAAATGATGCCAGCTGATTCATGATTTCGACTGGCTGAGAAACGCTGCCTGTCTGCCCGTCTCGTCCAGACACATTCATTACCGTACTATGGGACAGCTGGAGATCGAATTTGAATATTGAAACAATGTTGCAAATGTCGGAGAGACAGACAGCAAGGTTTATACAAATCTCCGTTGTTGAAAACTAAATGTTAGTCTAAAAGAAATGTGAGATAATGTCTAGATGCTTTTTATAGTGGAGATACGTTTATAAATTGCTTGGCTGGGTTGAGACAGTGGATTGCGCAGCCAGATGGAACAGAGTAAATAGGCATTTTAAGGTCATAGATTTAGCCGGTGGTAATTTGTGGAATAGACACCGGCTGGAATGCAGTTTTAACCAAACAGCATTCAGGATTAGACCCACCCGTTGTATAAACTACTGTATGCAAGTGGCTGGAATTAAGAAGTGAGGGAGAAAAGTTTCAACAACATAGTTTACACACTGTAGTTTCACAGGCCTCCCTTCCAACCACCACGCTTGACTTCACATAGTCTCTCCGATAAGAAATGAATGCTGCTAGGGGAGTAGCTGTATACTGTAGCTCGATATGCTTTGAGCACCCAATAACCATATCGACACTTACTGTTGAGAAGTGCTCTGATGTCTGTAAATGCTTTATAGTAAACTGGCAAATGCTCTGTATTGAGCAATAATGTTGTCTGTCTATACATTTATCCTCATGCTCAAAAATGGTTCCCTTGTGAGTTTAGTCACAACAGCACTCTCTACACAATATTAGTCAATAGATGACACAGGGTGTATATGTCACAATTTCAATGATCGAACACTGCGATTTTCATTTGTGCCTTCAAACTATTACTGTACAAGCTAGAGGAGTCATGTATTTCTTTCTATTGTTAGGCAAGTTATGACATCAGCAATGTTGCTTAATCGTCAGTTAGTCTGACGCATTTCATTGGTTTAAAAGTGAATGTTTGTATCAATGTATCCAAGACATACCACTGCTTGACACACATTTCTAAATGATACATTTTTTTTGCGTAAAATAAGTGTTATGAATTTCTCTTCAAATAAATGGGGCCTTTTAAATAAATGAATATGCACTTTTAAAAACAGGCTTAAATCATATTAGCTGTTCTGCATGGAACATAACAATATGACTTCCACTAAAGATGTTAGTTGTTAGAGTCGTATTTTTAAATTGTACAGGACACATGTTGACTTAGTACAGTGGCTTGCGAAAGTATTCACCCCCCTTGGCATTTTTCCTGTTTTGTTGCCTTACAACCTGGAATTAATTTTTTTGGGGGGGTTGTATCATTTTGATTTACACAACATACCTACCAATTTGAAGATGCAAAATATTTTTATTGTGAAACAAACAAGAAATAAGACAAAAAAACGGAACACTTGAGCATCACCTTTTGCAGCAATTACAGCTGCAAGTCTCTTGGGGTATGTCTCTATAAGCTTGGCACATCTAGCCACTGGGATTTTTGCAGATTCTTCAAGGCAAAACTGCTCCAGCTCCTTCAAGTTCGATGGGTTCCGCTGGTGTACAGCAATCTTTAAGTCTTACCACAGATTCTCAATTGGATTGAGGTCTGGGCTTTGACTAGGCCATTCCAAGACATTTAAATGTTTCCCCTTAAACCACTCGAGTGTTGCTTTAGTAGTATGCTTAGGGTCATTGTCCTGCTGGAAGGTGAACCTCCGTCCCAGTCTCAAATCTCTGGAAGACTGAAACAGGTTTCCCTCAAGAATTTCCCTGTATTTAGCGCCATTCATCATTCCTTCAATTCAGACCAGTTTCCCAGTCCCTGCCGATGAAAAACATCCCCACAGCATGATGCTGCCACCACCATGCTTCACTGTGGGGATGGTGTTCTCGTGGTGATTAGAGGTGTTGGGTTTGTGCCAGACATAGCATTTTCCTTGATGGCCAAAAAGCTCAATTTTAGTCTCATCTGACCAGAGTACCTTCTTCCATATGTTTGGGGAGTCTCCCACATGCCTTTTGGCGAACACCAAACGTGTTTGCTTATTTTTTTCTTTAAGCAATGGCTTTTTTCTGGCCACTCTTCCGTAAAGCCCAGCTCTGTGGAGTGTACGGCTTAAAGTGGTCCTATGGGACAGATACTCCAATCTCCGCTGTGGAGCTTTGCAGCTCCTTCAGGGTTATCTTTGGTCTCTTTGTTACCTCTCTGATTAATGCCATCCTTGCCTGGTCCGTGAGTTTTGGTGGGCTGCCCTCTCTTGGCAGGTTTGTTGTGGTGCCATATTCTTTCCATTTTTTAATAATGGATTTAATGGTGCTCTGTGGGATGTTCAAAGTTTCTGATATTTTTTTTTAACCCAACCCTGATCTGTACTTCTTCACAGCTTTGTCCCTGACCTGTTTGTAGAGCTCCGTGGTCTTCATGGTGCCCCTTGCTTAGTGGTGTTGCAGACTCTGGGGCCTTTCAGAACAGGTGTATATATACTGAGATCATGTGACACTTACATTGCACACAGGTGGACTTTATTTAACTAATTATGTGACTTCTGAAGGTAATTGGTTGCACCAGATCTTATTTAGGGGCTTCATAGCAAAGTGGGTGAATACATATGCACGCACCACTTTTCCGTTATTTATTTTTTCATTTCACTTCACCAATTTGGATTATTTTGTGTATGTCAATTACATGAAATCCAAATAAAAATCTATTTAAATTACAGGTTGTTATGCAACAAAATAGAAAAAAAGGCCAAGGGGGATGAATACTTTTGCAAGGCACTGTATGCATGCTTCTGACTAGATCATACCTAGAGCAGGTTATTTTACTAACACTATTACTTTGTTTCAATGTGTTCCATTGTTGGAATAAAACCATTCACATACAATGCCTGTCTTCCATTTTATGACCCCACTTATATTACAGTACAATCAATACATGTCATGTGATTTTACAATGATTTTACAAAACAGATTTTTTAAAAATATGACCTCACCACTAACACTCAAATACGCATGCATGTGGCAGCCCTGTATTTCAACACCACAGCACACAGTGCATGATGGGAATGAACTACTAAACTATCTCCACGTTTGAGTGGTGCGCAGAATCACTGATCTACAAATCACCTTGCGTTCCAAACAACTACATCCTAAGTGATGTAGATTAGGAAATCGGTGCAAACTGGGCATTGCTCTGGCCGATCATCTGCAACGCGGGGCGAAGCTCGTCAGTCTCCACCTCCAGACCAGAATGTGCCCAGAGGATATACTGTAATTACCTGTGCTGAACACAGTTATCCCAATAGTTATTTCACACAACACGGTAAAATGCCAGTTACTGTGCAGATTTCCTAAAGCGATGCCCATGCTGGTGCTGTAGGTATAGAACCGTGTCGGGGTCAAGGTTTGTGGCTCTCGGCTGTGTGTGGAGCACATACAGTACACATACTGTAGAAGAGTACACATACAGCACTCTTAGAAAAAAGGGTTCCAAAATAGTTATTCAGCTGTCCCCATAAGATAACCCCTTTGGTTTCCACCCCTTTGGTTTCTTCTATGGAAACCAAAAAGGGTTATTCAAAGGGTTCTCCCATGGGGACAACTGAAGAACCCCTTTAGGTTGTAGATAGCACCTTTTTTTTCTAAGAGTGTATAAGAGCCTTGTTGACCCTGTGTCAGAGAACATGACAGGTATTCAGATTGAGTGAAGTCTTTGACAAATGGCTTTTGCTTAAAGTGGAACTGACAGCATTTTAGCAACATGAAATCGTATTAAAATCTCTTCATATACACACCCAGGAAGAATATGACCTTTTTTTTTTAAATTGCTGGCGAGCACTTAGATATGATCATGTTCAGGTGTTCATAAATTCTTA